AAAACTGGAACGAAAACTAAGACTGTGTTTTTCAGTTTGAAGCCATGAGATGGCGAAATTGAAGTCCGTCTGGAGTAGGTATGCCCTATAGGTCCCTACGCGGAAATTCACTGAATTCATTATGAAAAATCCGCATCATTTCATGTAGAAATTTCATAACTTTTCAGCCGACTATTTTTTAAGCCCGGCTTTACCATAACCGTAAGAAACTGGAGCAAGCTAGTGGTCTTCCAGAGTAACCAAATTCATTTAGACACACAATCATCATAAGACATAAAAAGCAAAGTTATTGAAGAGTGAAAAACAACTTCAGAAAACCCCCCGCGCGGTAAAACACCAGCAAACGTTTGTTTTTTCTGGAAGAAAATGAGGGATTTGAACTATAAACACAGAATAATATGGATTGCAGTTACATCAGTATTACATGCAGGGTCCGTACAAAACTTGAAAGGCCTTGAATTTGAAAACAAAAATTCAAGGCCTTATTATCCTTGAATTTGTAAAGAAGTACTTGAGAGTCCTTTATAGGTTCTTCTTGCTTTAGTTTATGGACTTTGAAATTGTTCGACATTCAAAACGGACATTTTGTTGAATTTATTTTGCATGTCATATCTGATAAAACTGTTTGATAAATTCATTAAATTAAGTTACATTTTGAACAATTGAACGTCACATTTTACTGATTTCTAACGCCTTATCTACAGTATTTAGTGCTTGCATGAATTTGCTCATACACGGCATTGAATGCCCTTAAAAAGTCCTTGAATTTGACTCTTCCTGACATCTACGAACCCTGAATTATTAGCCGCCTTAATTTCATTTAGTTTTTATAAGAGTAGGGTATTTTACCACTAAAATTGAGCATTTACGTGCAAAAATTGTGAAATATCGATCGGAAAACCGCTTAGCCCACGCGACACACACGCCTGCAAGAGATCACTCTATGTTTAGGAGCTAATCCCTTGATAAATTTACTGAAAGTAATAAATAGAATTTTAAATTTTATGCGCGCACTGAATGCAGCATTGGGGTGAATTCTCGTCTGTTAAAAAATTTATTCATCATTTTCAATTTAATAAATTAGTTAATTAGCAATTTCTTATATTTTTATGTCTACGTCAGAATTGTAAATTGTAGCAGAAAATCTTTGTTTAAATGAGAGGTTATACATCCTGAAGTCCATGGGATCTATATTTAAGATTATTTTGAACTATCGTTGAATAATATCCTCATTACGCTCCCACTTATTTCTTCGGCTTATATTCTCAAAACGACATTGTTGTATATGCTCGTCATTTCTGGATCAACAAAATTCCGAAAAACATAATTATAGAATATAGTAAATAATCGCCCATTTCCTTTAGTGGTGCCACAATTTGCCCAGATCACATACTTTGACGCATTAGTGATACTACCTGTCACGATATGTTAAAATATTATACGTGACACGTGCGAAAACTAGAAATATATATCTTTAATCCACAATTTCAAATATCGTCAGCATATTACAGAGTCTAATTAAGAATATCAGCTTATTTCTATACCGGTTCAAACTGCTCGATGCAAGCGACAATCTAAACGACATTGACGAACGACATTTTTAATGGCAAAACAACCAGTGCGTGGAAACAGAAAGTTAATGAACATTTCAAATCGTGACTGGATGGCATGGAATTTCCAAAACAATCAAAAGACAATGTCCCCGTTAGTGTGTCACGAAAATTTTTTTCCTGCCTGACCTTTATATACTCAAATCAAAATAAGCTAATTGAACTTTGAAAGCTCATTTTGAAGATTGATGTAACAATTGTTGCATGGCTAATGCATTTTTAGCCAATCTGGGATACGCGGCTGAGTTTTCAAAATTTTCCGGCTGGGGGAATATCGATCCCCTGATAGTGCCATAGATATCTTATATATACTAGATGGCGCATCTCTTTTAGTAAAATTGAAGCCAAGAATATTCTAGCGGTTACCCCCATTTGAATAGATGGCGGCCATGTTGGAGTTTCCCACTCGCTAATAAACGCTTAAAAAACAACAATAACTTTCATCATTTGAATAGTTTGAAAATGTATTTGGAATAGGTTTACCTTAATATTCAAGTTCCGTGTTTAAGAAATAGAAAACATACGAGTCTTCTCATTTCATGGGAATATCCTGGGTCTGCAATCACGGCTTCAATTTTTGAATTGCAGAATAATTAGATGCACTATCTAGTTTATATAAGATATCTATATGGATAGTGCCCCCTAGTATATAGTGCCTATTTTGCCATTTGTATTTACCTTAGGATCAGACCCTCTTATCAGTTCCATGATCATGTAGTCAATTTTAAAAATCACGTAATCAATATAATCACATATAGATTATAGATCGAATATATATAGTCATTAAAATTGTTAATGTTTCAACCGGACTTTTTGCCTTTGGCTTTTTGAACCTTTTTTGAATAAGTCAAAATACTACTGTATGAATTTAATGAGTGTTTTTAAAGTGAATATTTAATTAACATTTCTTACGTATATAGATATATCATATATTTGTCTAAACAAATACTGATTAAATTTATGAGAAAGATAAGAAAGAATTAATTTTTACTTTAAACGCCGTTTTATCTTTCCAGTATCTTATTAAAATTATATTGAGACGCTGTACTATATAGATTTTTATCAATAATATTATTATTAGTTTCTGAAAGTGAATATTTTCATGCTTGCAAATTAACTTGGTCAACAAGAACGGTTTTTAATATAACTATATATATATAGTGCACGATAATTCAAAGAACGACAGCAAAAATTTAACTGTCTGTTTAAATTTTGAAAAAATGGTTTGTTCGTTATTAACGAGTCTTCATGCATATAAATGATTGATAGTGGCATTGTGTTTAAAATGTAAATAAAGCTGGATTTAACATGAAAAAAAATGAAATTATTTTGTCCGTATATATAGGCTATGTATATATTCAATCAGCCTAATTTATGCGCTTCTCTCTGAAAAAGAATTCCAGAGAATCGTTATTCTAATACAAAGTCATAACTCATAGAATATATATAGCCGCGCCTTGCTGGGGCTCCTCGTCGCAAAATATTCCAAATCGGCAAATGTTAATTTTCAAAAAAAAAAATTTTAATTCAGCGTCGAATATTTAATGAAAATTGCAATGATTAATTGTCATCATACATGTTCATTACAATATTACAGTAATTCATGATATATATAGTAATTGCTTCAGAGTTCCGTTTGGTGAGCCAGGATTCCATAGAACCGCTATCAAGAGTTTTTTGTCCTTATATAAGAAGTATGTATGATATAAACATGTTTTCTTAAATTGCCTTTACATTATCTTGTTTAAAAATTAACCATTTATGTATATACTAGCCGTCTATAGAGCGTGTTTCTGTCATATTTACCGAGTGTCCCCAAAAAAGTGGACACTGTTTAATTTCATGCAACGTAAAAACTATACTGTTTTTGAAAATGCCAAAAATTCAGTTAGCATAAACCAACTATAATTACCGATGTATTTATATACTTGTTGTCTGTGGAATAATAATCAAAATCTAAGTTAGTCCTTTCTGTCCTTTCTGAATGCAAATGATGATCTTTATTTCATTGCGATAGCTTTTATAACTTTTACGTTACATGAAATCAAACAGTATATCCGGTTCAGTTTTTGGGGGGACACCCGGTATATATAAATTTTATGAGTTTCAAACATTGTCAGAACATCATAACTATATATTTTGCTACTAGAGTCATAATTAATCTGTTTTGCATATAGTAAAAATATATTGATGATTAAATTAAGAGAACGAAGAATTTATTTTACAGATATTATTAGTATAAAATTAATTAATATTGATGATGATATTGACTTGTTGTATCGACCAGTTTGAACCGGCAACCAATGTGCTGATATTCTTAACTCTGCATGTAATAGGCCGACGATGTTTGAAATTGAATTTTTCCTGTGTTGGTGTAATGTACTCAGGTGAATATGATGCTTGTGATGTTACTCCAGTGTGTATATATACTCTGAGTAACATCACAAGCATGATATTTGAAATTGTGCATGGTTAATTAAAGATAGATATTTCAATATTGTTCACCTTGTTGAACCTGATCAGTGATCTTCCCAGTATTCAATGAAAGCGTTCATGTTGTATATTTTTCAATTCTTCGAAGAATAGCGAACACTTTCTTGTTCGTTGGGTGGTATTAAGAAATCCTTCAAATTATTAGGCAATTCATTTTTATTGCATAAATTTATGAGCAAATCACACGACTTTCACCCAAACTATGCTCTGTCGTTGCCCCTGGTGAACAGGTAATTCGATTCTCCATGAAATATATCTGTAAAAGATAAGAACACTCAGACATTTTAAGTTGAAACCCTTGATCATATATGACACTCAATGTCAGAGACAGCCAATATTTTAATTTTCAAAATATACCCTGCAAAAAATAATAACAACCCCCAAATTATTTTGAAGTTTATTGCTAAAATCGCATACATTGATGTTACATTGTGACATTTGCATCTTTGAAGTAATTACATTGTTCGCGCATAATCCCCCTTAGCTAGCGCGCATATATTAATATGTTGAATTTTTATGTTTTGCCAAGGCTATATTTGGTCGCAGGGTATGTGGTTGACATGTTTTTGTTTGAAATTTCTAGGTACACAGTCTGGCTCGCGAATTTCCTGATTCAGTGATTCTGAGGTTAGTGCTTTTTGGTGTTTTGCAGAGATTACGAGATTGTGTGCGAGTTGTCGCACCTGTGGTTTTGAAACCCAATCTCATCCGATTCGCTCGGGCGCGTTCCATTAAGCGCTGCGTCACGAAGCGCAGCGAATGATCTCTTTGTCCCGACAGGCTAAATCATATGGTATACACAATACAGGAAGGTTTATAGTATACATTGACAGTCTAACACAAGAGCTTTAAAACGTTGTACTTGAAACACCACAAACAGCGACAAAGCTAGCCTTTATGGCTACTCTTTCTTCAACAACCTTGGCAAGCGAACCAACAGTTGATGTATCAGAGACATTCAAGACATTCGCTTGGATATTTTGTTTGTTAATCTCGTTGACAGCATTTTTCGGGAATGCTGCTTTACTATTCGCAGTGTATCGCGATCCGCTGCGATGCTTCAAGACCCGAGCGTCGAGCGTGTTCACGATAAGCTTAGCGGCTTTCGATCTGCTAACCGGTTTCGTTTATGCCGTATGGTACATTGCAAATCTCAGCCGCTCGTCAGTAACGCAAGCGACCCCGATGGAATTTCTAATCAATTTTGTCCACGTTAAAGGACAGTGTGCTTTCCTAACAGTGCTGGCATTAGCCGTAGATCGGCATATCGCAGTAGCCTACGCGGTACGCTACAAGAAAATCGTTACGAGACGAAAACTTATATTGTGGACTGCGTTAATTTGGGGATACTCGTTTATTTTCACCACAATTGTGAACATACTTGACCAACAGAAATCCGAACAGAATTTAGTAGACGCTGCTTCGTATATGCATCTCGCATCGCATGTTGAAATTGTTCTCGTGCTGGTAGCTGTCACAGTTCTGTACACTGCATCCTTTAAATCGCTACGAAAACACGGCAAAAAATTGCGGAGCTCTGGTATGAAAGTTAACGTCGAACGCAAGGCGGAGTATTTGAAATCCGAAAAAGAATTCGCCATGGCAATATTATTAACAATGATAATTCTGGTGTGCACTGTAACACCGCATACTATATACATGATTATCAAATTGTCAAAAGGACTATGCCCTCACTGTAAGACCAATAAAGACTACATACGTTTCTCGTATCTCAGTGAGGGGATATATCTTGTGCTGTTCGCAGCCAATCCGTTTGTCTACGCCTGGAGGCTGCCTAAATTTCGTAGCGCGTTGAGACTGTCTATCAAACGGCGTTCAAGACGCAGTATATACTATGATAAGACTGAGAGACCGGAGTCTATGAAAGAAATGTCAGACAGCCGAAAGACGGGCTCGATTCCGAGGCTCAATACCATTGTAAAATAAACGGGGAATATATTGCTATACTCAAGTGTAGCATGATCGAGCTTGCATATTATGATGCACGCTTCGTAAATCGTGGCTAGAAATATTAATTAAATTTGCAGTCTAAAAGCCGCGGAAATGCACAGAATACACCACTTTCCCGTCGTTTAAACTGCGCCTATCCCAGAGATAAACTCGTGTAGCAGAAACCTTCACAGATAAAAACAATCAGTCACTTGTCATTTGATGTACGAGTGAACTGTTTTTAACCTTCGCAAGGCGAAGAAAGACGCGTTGTTGATGACAAATAAAGCTTAACGGAGGCTTTTTTTAATCGGAAAACGGGTAGACAAGGTTTTTGAGACATGGTCGATCATAGTTTCAGCTTTGATGCCCGTCGGAAATTATGTACATATTCGAATAATCGCGTGGAACTTGCCTGAATTTCATCGCCAGACACTGGACACAAAACATACAAGGAATGGAAAATGTAATACAAGATTCAAAATTTTAATCGGATTATAAATGAATATTTTTCTCACAATGGCGCTGGTCGAAATTGTGTTGGATCAAAAAATGGTGCTCGCATATGAAATAGTGTTGCGAAATTGATGCCTGCGCATCTGAGCATAAATCCTCTAGCACTTCCTCGGCTTTGTCGAACTATTTTTTGTTTGCTCCGAAAAGGTGCAGTGTTGTTCATACAAAGAAACTAAACGCAGAAATAATATCGATGGGAAATGGAAACAATGTAGTTTCTCTATTTAAAATATCAATGGCAATACTGCGTCATTCCTCGAAAGTCGAAACCAGACTGCATTCAAAAGGCGATGTCTGATATACAGTATCCATTGAAGCAAGACGTTGGATTCATTTATAACTAAACATAAAAGCCTTGTGATTGTGGACTATAAACCAATATCGATTTCCTATATAATCTTTCTAGAATGTTAAAACCCAGATTTTAATAAACCTCTTATAATTGGGTAGCTATGGAAATGAAATCTAAACGTAAAACATTTAATAAATATCTTGCATATATTTCAACCCTTTTATCTTTCCTTTGTTGTTCAACATGCAAAGCTCTAAATGACAAAATTGGCGATATGTAAACAAATTATTTAGACTGAAAATTTTTCGGTGCCAAAATAAAAAGTATAATTGTCGCAAAGTGAATGCCAATTTGAGCACAAAATGGCCAGAATTACCGTATTTCAATATGTTTCCAGCTAGGTAATTTGTGGTAAATGCTTAATGCTTAAAAATACAAAGAATTCATTATTAAACGTGTCGCCTTCCCACAGATTTTGTACATCCCTAATTGAATTTTCAGGTGTTCATATTTTGCAATCGCTGCCTGCTCTATTATGTCAAGTGAAAACCAACTCGGTGTTGAGTGAGAATTTGCCGCAAAGGACGAGTCTTTCACGAGAGACTGGTGTGAATCAATCACAAGTGTCATGTTTATTTGAATACTGCTTAATTGCTACGGCTGCCAAAATCTGACATGATCTCGAACAGACTGTGCTGCAACTACCAGAATTTCGACCGTTTCAAGCTGAGACCCTTTAAGGGCCTTTAGACGAATTAGGGCCTTCGCTCAAAACGGTTGAAGTCCTCGTTGTAATCCCTATAGGCAGACTTACACTACACAATTTTTGCCCTAAAGTAAAACTGTCGCGTATATAACCTGCTTACAACTTGAGTTGTCGCATAGGTGAGTTGTAGGCTTGATTTACACAGTAAAACTCAAGTTGTAACAGGTTCCATGCGACAGTTTTAGGCAAAAGTTGTGCAATGTAAGTCGGCCTTGGAGCTAGGGAGAATGCCTCTAATTATACAAATGACAGGCGACATTTTGCGTGTATATACCTATCAACAACCAATCATTTAAGAGATAGTCTTGTTTGGAAAAAAGGATCTAAACTTACAGTTACAGCCAGTATCCTTTACAACATATTTACTAGAACTGTGTAACATGAAACTTTTGCCATTATTATAAAAAATAATTTAATTAAAAAGAGTATACTATAATCTATATATAATTTACTGGAAAGACCAGATTTGATCAACAAGGTCGAAATCAAGGCAAGTTAAGAACATAAAAAAAAATTCAAAATAAATTTTGAATTTGAAAAATATATTTCTGAAATTAGCAATGTTAAGCATCGTCAATTAGCTGTTACGAAGCTCAGAATATCAGCTCGTAGATTACCTGTTGAAATTGGTCGATATAGCAATGGTCCATACGATA